TGGAGAGAAACGCATCGTGGTGGTGCTGTAACGCTCTGCTACGTTTTGAAGACCGGTTGTTGGCAGATGTTTCCATGACATATGGGACTGTTGATCTATCAGGGTCCCACGGTGTTGAGGAGTATTGTACAGTCGTCTCCAACGATAATTTTGAGTATTTAGCGTTCAGAGTGTCTGGCAGCTGTAAATTTCCACACGGTAAGCCACTGCATTGAGCTATTATTTGTGGGCAGGTCGCTTCTGAAAAATAGCTACATAGCTCAGTGGGCCTTAGCTGGTAATTTTTTTTATTGTTTTATATATATTTTATTATTTTCTTGTTTCCCTTCAACGTGACTTTACCGAAAGAGCTAAGAATATAAAAATTGAAATAGTAATTCACTCAATCTCTCTGGACTCCCTATCGCTCTGCTGGAAAGAAGAACCATGGATCAAATGCTGCCGATACGTAACATCCTCTTAGGGAATTTTATTGACAAGCGTGTTGAGTTTTTTTGTTGACGGTTATTGGGAAGGAGAGATAGACATTAGAACCGCACGCGTTTACAATACAGCCAAACGTGTCATATTATGGCGAGCGATGAGTTATGGAGGCGTCTTCTTCAATCAAAGTGAATGTGGACGCAGATTAAATTCGCCGTAGTGTGGGCGGGCAGGCAACTGTGCTGCATTACACGCGAATAATAACAGCGTTGACGTAATTTTCCAGTTGACGCTCACGCATTCATCATACGCACTCCGCTACAGAAATTAATGAGACGCTAAACGAATTAAAAAATATCTATTTTTTTGCACGCAGATTATTTGCCCATGCTGCTGCTGCATTGGCAGTGGTGCACAAGGGCAGATAACAGCAATAACAACAACAAAAACGCAAGACATTCGTTAATAACACCGTACAGCCTACAAATCAACAAATACATGACGTGGCGTGACGTTTCGGGCAAATGGCCTTTCTTCAGAGCACACAGAGAGGCCGACTCTATCTCTATGGCCTATGTACACTGTGAAGAAGGGCCAATACCCGAAACGTCGCACGTCGCCTCTTACATTCTCTTGCTTTTTCTCCAGGCTCTCCGGGTTTTTCCCTCCGAATTTAAAAACGCGTGCTCAGAATATTTGGCTGCTATACATTTACACGCCACGATAGGCAACTTGGTTGAGCTATCATTTGTGGCCTGGTCGCTTGTGGAAAGCGCTTTTAATATCAGTCATGGGCCTTACCTGTTAAAATAAAAAAAATAGTTCATAGCTTATAAAGGCTACTATCAACAGATGCGTTTTTACATATATATTTTATAAATCAGTGTGGTGGATGTTATTGCGCGGGTGGTTGATCGCTGTGTCTAATTCATGCACGTAGCCAGGATGCGCAGAGAAGCAAGGTCACACGGTGACACTGCAAGGTTAATCGTGTGGCTGAGACACAACATTTACCGCACACACGATGAATGCATTACGAATAATAAACGTGAAAATAAATAAATAAATAGACGGCCCTGCTTCGCTTCTGAAATCTAATTTGGCTGTGAAAGCATTCGGAATAATGCACTTACGTGTTTGTATTTCCAATACAATTTAATACCGTGGATAATTTGCGAAATACAATATTCCTCAATGTAAATGTATAATATACAACAACAATAATTATACATTTCAGCCCGTTGTCAATCCACTGTTCGGTAAAAGCATCAACACACCACGGTGGCCGTGCGGGAGAGGGCTTGTTCGACCATACTTAGAGGGCTTGTTCGACCATACTTCACCACGCCGGATTAATGCTCGCAGGTGAACCCAGGACCCTGGGGTCAGATCAGATATCATTCGGCTAGTGATGGTTTCTGTGGATGGGAATCAAACCCATGTTGCTGTGTTCATAGTGCAGTGGGCTGACGATAGCACCACCACTCCGACCCTTCAAGAGTGTTTATGTATACTCTCAATTCTCATCCACCCGTGGATTTTTGCCAATCCACTGGTGGATGAGGACCTCCCTACGCCGTGTGGGTTTTGAGGAATATTTTGACCATACTTAACCATGCTGGTCAATGGCCCTACTAAGTATTTCATAAAATCATTAAAAAAATTGTTATACTATATGAAGGCCATATTTTTGGTTATATAAATTAAAGAATAACATAAAATACTGATGAGTGGCAGTGTAGCGGTTCACGCACTGGACTATGCACCTAGTGAGCAAAGTTCAATTCCTGGCCACAGCTAACGGAGTGATGTCGCAACGTCATGGCTGGATTACATCCGATTAGAGGCCAGCTGATGGAGTCCGCGCCTTAAGGGGGCCAATTGCGTGGAGGTGAACGGCGTTGTTGACTACACATCCCAACGCAACGAGCATCCAAAGTGCAGCGATCTCGCGTTATTGACTTAGGTTAAGCGCAGCATCATGGACACAAACATTACAACCGGCGTCCTTAATTGGCGGCTCAGCAAGTTACCTGCACAGTATTTGCCATCGTTATTTTAAATATCCGCGCGCCTCGTTTGTTTTCCCTGTGGAACTTTGGCCAAGAAGGTGTCCCCTTTCATAATAATTAATCGCCCACCCACCCCCCTCGCCCCCCCCCCCCACCGCCTCAACTATTCATCAACCCGCACTGCCCGGCAAGGTAACAATTCCCGTTCCCAACCCAGCATGGGGAAGCCCTTCATCCAGCAAGGGGACTGTAAATCAGTAGACATGTATAACTACAATCACAAATGATAATCATTTGGAGTTAAAGGCGCTCTTGAACACAGATCCCTTCGACATATACGACCATGGAGGCGGAGGGATGGGATCACGGTCGCTTGCAGCTGCTACTATTAAATGTTTGCATCGCAGCACTTGTGAGGAGGGATGTCGAAAGGCTTGGGGGGAGGGGGAGCGGGGAGGCCTTCATCCGGATTGAGCATGGCTCACGATCATTAAATCGCGCTTTCGGACACGCAGTCAGACTCCTCTCGACGCGTCTCACTGCGTGGGCCCGCTCACTTGTAGCGGCTCAATGCGGAGCGTCCGCCCAGAGGTCCGTGGTGGGGTTTCAACTGGGCGCTGCCCGCTAATTCGCCGCTGCGAATATTTGCCCACCCGTGTTAATTCACCCCTGAATAAATAATGCGATGAGGTCGTTGGCCATTCACGCGCGCGCGATTAATGTCCCCGTGCATAGTCAGCACGTTGACGAGCGCGTCATGGCTGGATTACATCCGATTAGAGGCCAGCTGATGGAGTCCGCGTCTTAAGGAGGCCAAATGCGTGGAGGTAAAAGGCGTTGTTCTCTACACAACCCAATACAACGAGCATTTAAAATGCAGCGATCTCGCGTCAGGTTAGGCGCAGCATCATGGATACAACATTACAACCGGCGTCCTTAATTGGCGGCTCAGTAAGTTACCTGCACAGTTTTTTTTTCCATCGTTATTTTAAGTATCCGCGCGCCTCGTTTGTTTGTTTGTTTTCCCTGTGGCGCTTTGGCCCAAATGGTGTCCTCTTTCAGAATAATTAATCGCAAAGAAATTAGATACGAATGTTTTATTTTAAACAGGACTTGACATATTAACAACACTGCAATTTCCCTTTCATAATTTGTAATAATTTTAAGCGCTTTGTCAATTCCCTTCTCGAAAAGCTCGTGCGGGTTATGCGGGTTGTGCGGCTTATTTGGCTAAACTTCACCACGATGGTCAGTGCACGTTGGTGAGGTGGGGTGATACCCAGGGCTGGTTCAGATTTCACTCGCCATTGAGGCCAACCGTGACCAGGAATCAATCTCAGGTAGCCTGGTTCGTAGCGCATTGTGCTGACCACGGCACCACCGCTCTACCCCAGTTACCTCTTTAAAAATATACTATCAAAAACGAATTGGATAAATATACCAACTAAACTAAATACTGTTTTTTTATTTTACCAGGTAAGGCCCATTGAGCTATATAACTCTTTTTCAGGAACGACCTGGCCACAAATGATATCTCAACGAAGTGGCTTATCGTGTGGAAATGTATTGCAGCCAAACACTCTAAACGCGTGATGTTAATTCTAAATTTGGAGAGAAAACCCGGAGGACCCGGGGAGAGACACGTAAACTTTAAACACACAGCAGGCGTCAGGGTCGGGATCGAACCCACGACCTCCTGTGTACCAGGCGAGGTAGTTAACATCTAACCGCTGTGGCGCTCCTGTTTAAGTAAGATAGCTCACAATAGATGCATCGCTTGTACTGTATACTAATAACCGTTTTAAGATTTGTATTTTGAACGTGATGGGCTTATGCCAACTACCCTTCTCCAGAGTGTTACAAAAACATTTGCGAGAACAAAACAACAAAAATAAAATCGCGACAATTCATTGAACTGCGGGGACTGTGCGGCGGGAGATGGGTGAATCATTCCACCCCTGGCTAACAGACTAAACATGATTTCATCTCGATGATGAAACATAACCCTGCCCATAAGTATTATTATGTAGATCGGGTGGTGTGCACACTAACAGAGTTAGTCATAGCCAGTTTCCCCAGCTGCCAGTCCGACTGGACCCCCCCCCCCCCAACCGACCAAGGAGCAACCCCGCCCTGAGGACCTCCCACCGTTAATCCGGGATTGGGAGGCGCGGGGTCGCGGGGCGGACGCGTGGCTCATTCAGCTCGCATTGAGCGTCGCGACCCACTCTCATTCGCCCGCTAGGCTGCCACTCCGTACCCAGCAAAAGCAGCTGTCACTCCATCGCCCCGGCACAGCGCTGCAAGCGTGCGTGAACGTGTGTGCGCGCGTGCGAGTCTGCGTGTGTGCGCGTGCGAGTCTGCGTGTGCGAGCGTGCGAGTCTGTGTGTGCGCGCGTGCGAGTCTGCGTGTGCGAGCGTGCGTGTCTGCGTGTGCGAGCGTGCGAGTCTGTGTGTGCGCGCGTGCGTGTCTGCGTGTGCGAGCGTGCGTGTCTGCGTGTGCGAGCGTGCGAGTCTGTGTGTGCGCGCGTGCGAGTCTGCGTGTGCGCGCGTGCGAGTCTGCGTGTGTGCGCGCGTGCGAGTCTGCGTGTGTGCGCGTGCGTGTCTGCGTGTGCGAGCGTGCGAGTCTGCGTGTGCGCGCGCGCGTGTCCACTGCCCTTATACAGGCAGCGAGCGGGGCGGGCGGGAGAGAGAATCACCGCCGTCGCCGCCGCCTCTTCAGTTTCGCCACAGAGAGAATAGCACAGACGGCAGCAGGCAGTGCCAGAGATAGACGGGGAACGGCGCTTTGGCAGTCATCCTCAATACGACTCGAAGTAAAAGACAACGTGGACTCTTGATTCCGAAGTGTCAGATTATGACAGTTTAGCAAAATCGGGGGTGGGGGTGGGGGGGGAGTGCGAAAAAAATACATCTTTATTTTTAAACATAGCTTTTGGGTTTCGTTCAGCTTTGAGATTTCGAGTAAAAAAATGCCATCGGCGCAGCCCTGGGAGGCGGCGGGCAAGCCCGTGCAGCGCCCCGTGTCGGAGTGCGCGGGGCCACCCGCCTCGACCGCCCCCCAGCTCGCGGGCGCTCAGGGCGGCGGGGGTCGCGGGGTGGCCCTGACGGCCCGCCGGGTCCAGCGACCGGCCTCGCTGAGCCTCTGGCAGCCGCTCAAGATATTCGCTTGTTCACAGCTCGGATCGCTGGTGCGCAGAGCCGCTCTGCTCAGGGACGCGCCCGACCACCTGCACAAGTATGAGAAGTCGCACAACTTCAAGGTGAGATTTGGGTGCCCCCCCCCCTCTCCATCTCTTTAGAAACGCGCGTTTAGAGAATTTGGCTTCTGATATAAATGTCCACATGATGATAAGCCACTTTGGTTGAGCTCTCATTTGTGAGTGCCTGGTCGCTTCTGAAAAAGAGCTGGAGAGCCTTGTGGGCCTTACCGGGTAAAATGTATTAAAAAATAAAATTAGTTTTTTGTTAGTTTCTCGTCTTTGCCGGAACTACGCCGCGCCTCTTGATTCGCGTGTTCGCCGCTGGGGAACCGGTTTCACACGATTCCACGGGTCGTGGCTCCTATCGAATGCGTGGCGTGCGGTCGACGGCAGTCGGAACTGTTCGGGGCAAAGTAAGTTGGGGCTTGGGCAGGAAGACGTCGCTCGCAGGCGCGGGTGGGTGGCGGCCAACGACGACGATGACGATGGTGGTGCACGATGAAGAATATTAGCGGAGTGGCAGCCAAGGAATGGAACGGGATGGTGTCTGCTGAGCAGACAGAGTGATGGGGATACAGCTCGTGCGCGGGAGCTAGGTGGATCGGTAACATCGCTGGTGGTGGCGGCTTGTGTGGACCTTCATCCAGCAGTGGATTGACCATCGTAGACAACGATGATGGTGATGAAGATTGTGTCTATGTGTGCGTGTGTGTGTGGCTGATGAATTCACAATGCATTGAGTGATATCCGGCAGAATGGGGAGCTTTATTTATTGTTAATATCACTTGAGATACAAAAAAAACCCCATTCCAAATGCAGTACGTTCACTTCTCCGCTGTGAAATGTCTCGTTGTGCGCTCTCTCGTGGACTGTGACCACACAGTAATCCCGTGCTCGCTGGCAAAAGCGCACGGCTGATCATGAGTCTTCCTCTCGCAACGTCATCTTAATTCTACGCACAAGACACACACACACAGTGCCCCCACATTGTGATACGGGACACAAAACCGCCCTTGCATCGGCCGTAGCAACGGCGTTTTGTAGATTCCGCCCGCAAAAAATCGCTCGCCTCGCAGCGGTCGCGACCAGAGCGAATCGCACAAAGCAAGCGCCGAGTTATATGGACGGAACAGAGGCGAGCGCTGTGTATAATTTTAGGAAAGTTAAAGCTGGGGTGGTGGGGGTTGGTCGGCGAGGTGGGTGGGTGGGGGAGGGCGCAGCTTTTTCTGCACAAACATCGCCGTGGGTCGAGAGTGACCGAGGAAGGTTGAACAATTATGGTTGACGATGAGACGACATCGACTCGACGCACCGCTTCCAAATGGAAATCAACGCGGCCATCTCCCTCATCCTCATCCTCCCCCCACGCACCCTCAGGGCATGGGGGCAAGAGGGCAGCAGCAGCCGCATCTGGGAGCAGGTGGCCCACGATGAATGGGATGACGCTGTAATTGGCGTAGCTCTCAACCTGGGCCTCGACAGCGACCCCCTGAGACGGACGATCAGAGGACCCCCTCAGCACGCCACCATCCTGCCCCTGAAACGCCCCGCGGGCCAAGGCCGATCTGGTGTTCAGGTGACAGGGGGTTTCCAATAACAATCGCTATGAGTGCAACGGCCCTTATCAGCATCATCATCATCAACAACAGCAGCAGCAGTCATAATCAACTGCTGGATGAAAGTCTACCCCCCCTCCCCCCCACCAAAGCCACCACCACCATCTCTCACGATCCTGCGATGATGGAGGTGATCAGAGACTCCTATACTCAAATAGCCCGTGCTTCCGATCGACGACTGGAAAATCCCATTGTCCGAAGATGGATCCTTTTTGTAATCCACGTTTCGCTTTCAAGTAAATGGAATCACCTGCGAGGAGGCGGTGGAAAAATTCACCCCTTTTTAAATTCACATTTACCCGCGGGTCTCAACTAAAGCGCCTAAATTCAATACTTTATTCCGTTGCGGCTGGACGGAAAAGATGAGCCACCCACAATAGCGGCGGCAGCTTCATCCAATTAATCCGCGGAGAACCAAATAGGCGCACTGGAGTCTCATTTCCGCACCCGTACAGATGAGGGCATTTTTCGCTGCGCTCGCTCTGGATTACATTTAATATTTTGTATTATCAAAATCGGACAACTCGCTTCTAAAATGTGCTTCCCCCCCCCCCCGTCATACTGTGTACGTTCAGTGTTGCGTTGTCGAGACCACACGCTGGCTCCGACGGCGCGTGGGGGTTGCTTTCTCATCGCAGGAGCCACGCGTGATGCATGCACGGCGCTCCAAACAGCCTCCCTTTGGCCGTGCGTCATAGCAAAGCCCGGGCTCAGAGGCGCGTGGCGGCGCACAGATTACATCCGAATGCGCTTCTCCAACACGACACACGCTGCCAGTGCCGTACGGCTTCATCTCCATCAGCGCTTTTTGTGTGTGTGTGTGTGCGTGTGTTGCGCTCACATCGAGAGCAAGCTCGTTAGAGTAACGCGCTGTCACCACCGCGGTGTTCGGGCGGGGCTGCAGTGCTCGCTACTGAAAAGCGATGTGCTCTCTCGTTGAGACCGATCGCAAACACCAATGTTTGCCACGGTAATTATAAATTATTATAATTTGAATAAGCAGAGAGCGGTGTTTTGTAGAGGAGGAAACGTCTCGTTCGGGCCCCATCGTCTCTTTAAAAAATAAACACCCGCACACAGAAGGAAATTAAGGAAAAATGTTGCGTGGAATTACTAAATTGATACAAATTTGAGATGTTTGGGACGTTCAGATCTGCAATCCCTGTGGACTCGCAACCCCCCCCTCCCCCCAATTCTCCCACCGCTCTCTGTGGTCAAATAAATGACGCTGAGTCGAATTGGCATTCCGCGCGCGTGTACCCGTAAATAGCGGCGTCACAGATAATAAAGAGACGGTCCAGCTGAGCTACATCGTGCGTGCCATCTTAGCCACGGCCGCCAAACCAAATCAAACCGAGGCGTTAGGCGACCGCTGCGTATTCTTGAGCGCATTTGCAGCATTAATTTCTGAGGCCATCAGCGACGGCCTTTGGTAATTAAATAATTGCATAACCCCACCAGACAGGCAGTGTTAGGGTTATCTTAGCCCTAGCGAGCTACTGTCCGCGGAGGGTTCCCCAATGATTCGTTATTTATCACAATTACTACGGCTTCTGCAGCACCACCACCACCACCCCAATTTAAGGGCGAGAGGTTTAGTTTAAATCTCACACCGTGTTCCACTGCGCGATCAGTTCACGTGCAGGTGCCCGGCGGAATATTACATCACGGTGGCTGGGAAAGGCCTCCATCCAGCAGTGGATTGAGCCTGGCTGATGATGTTTAAACGGTGTCTCGATACGTAATGGAACAGGTGTGCTACGGCAGGCATCGCATTTCCTGTTTCTCCCTCTCATGTTTTCCCTCAATGACGTTCCGAGTGCGCGTACAGCGTCACGTCACGGAACGCCGACGCTTCCACTCAGAACCCTGCAGCTAGCAGCGCATCGACCTGCGCCAGAGAACGGCCCCCCGAAAGATGATATTACAGAACTACTTCTGAGGTCACTTCACAAGGCTTATTTATTCACACTCAGGGCACAGCTCTTACTGCTCTGCACAGTGTTGGACGCATGTCAGTCAAACGAAATTGTTTGAATGTCTCCGAGCTGGGATTTAGCACAATTAAGTGACAACTAATTTAATGCAACATTTTTTTTTCGTGTGGTCATTGGTACCCCGAGGCGAAGTCCATGAACTGGTCGCACTTGAGAAGCTGGTTCCATCACGGCTGCCTGCCCTGGGTTGAATCCAGGACGCGAGCGCTCCTGGCTCAGTGCTGCGACCTGTGAGCTGCCTCTGGCGTCATATTTCCTCAGCGTCGAAGCACAATTTCAGGAACAATTTGCGTCAATCACAGCAAAACACAAGCAGACATTCAATTTATATATTAAAAAAAACTTAGAACGGTCGTGTACATGCAAGAGCGGTGAGCACAACATCCATCAATACTTTGGCAGGACTACAATCTCTCTCCTCGCTTCTGTCACAACTGGCGTGACATGTTTGTAGCATTGCCCGAAACACAAAACAAACATTGGACCGAAAATGATCATTGAAAGTGTCACCGATAAAATACCATTCATTGAAAACTCATTAAACCCCGGGAAATACGAAGTAATTACGAAACAATATCCTAGGACGTTGATCTTGCCAAAGTTTTGATGGATGCTGTGCTCACTGCCCCGTTCGATCAGCACACGATTGGCTACGTACGGTGTGAAAGAAGCTCAACGCACGCGCGTACATTTACGACGTGCGTGCCCAGTTGACTCTAAGGTGCGTATTTTTAAAACGACGCCAAGGGCCACGACGATGGGTGAGACGCCTTTTTCAGGGCAGGCACTCCCTGCCCCCTACCGCCGCTACGTTTGCTCAGCTGTTATGGAAACGTAATTCCTGCTCACTGCTCGTGCTGGGAGACCCCAAAAAAAAACCACGAGGAAGATTTCAGCGGAGAGGAAGAGAGGCACGGAGTAGGCGGCAGGGATCTATCTCAAATCGGCACATGAGCACGCGCGGTGCATCTGACATGGGGTAGACGGTCAGCTTCACCGGACTTGAAATCTTAGAGGTCACCGGTTCCAAGTCCATCTCCCCGTGCGGCAGTTGAAAAAAAAAAAAACCCGCACAATTTTCCCAAAACCCCAACGCCTCTGTCCATCCACCAGTCTAAACGAGTGCGCCACAGCCGAACGTCAGGTCGTGTACGGCGAGGTCAACCGTTGTGGCTCGCACCTCTTCCAAGACATCTGGCCAGCGCCGGCGAGTAGGCCAAAAACATCCCCGAGAGTCGCTCTCGGGGGCTGCTGCTGCCAGCGGAGGGCGTTCCCGCCAGCGGTGACGCGGCCGCGGGCAAGCGACTGCCGTTCCGCATCTATGCCGCCTTTACCCACGCGAGAGTGGCCAACGCGGGGCGGACGTGCGTGCGCTGGCGCAACTGGGCGGTGGGCACGGCCTCACGGAGCATCCGTGGTGTGGGCGGGAGGGGGGGGGGGCCGCTCAGCGCAAGCTGCGCCACTTCCCCAACTTTCGGTGTCCGCGATGACTGATCGCTCGTGGCAGGGACGCGCCACGCTCGGCCAGTCGTGCTGCGGCGGATGTTGGTTGAAAGATATCGCGGCGCGTTTTGGACACCTCCGAGTGGTCCCGGAGGTTGGAACATTCGAGCTTTTTGCCGCTGATAGCGCTATGGGCAGGCGCGTCACCGTCCGGCCAGTTAGTGTCCGCTAACTTGCACAGATGTGAGAGATTCCGACGAAGTGTGCAAGAGCGGAGGGAATTACGCGCCGCTATCATGGCGCCAAATTCTTAGAATGTTGGAAATTGGATGATAGTGATGACGATGATGGAGACGGCGGCGATGATGACGGCAACGATGGTACAATCATCATAATCTCAAAATTGGACTTTGAGATAAAAAAAAAACAATCTGAAGAATCAATTAAATTCTGGACGTTTAACAAATTCCACTTGTTATCTTCTCTCTATACTGACATCTTGAGGCCCCTCTTTCCCATTAAATCATCCACACAGACCGAGTGGTGGTGGAGAAGGCCCAACCCTCGCAAACTCTGAAACCCGACCCTGAGCAGTCAGCGCTATCTCAGGATGAGGCAGAGATGCCCCGAGCTCGCAGTGATCTTTGCCGCGGCGAACTATGCCCCACAAAAGCGATGGCCGCAAGCAACGGCGATTCTCCATTATCCTATGATTGCCTTCGCTGTGATGTAACGCGAAGCCTTGCCTCCCTTCAACCCTATCCATGTGTTGACCCCTGCGATGTCTCTCTCAATCTCCAACCTTCGCTCGCCGGGAGGTCGCTCCTTCTCCTCCGCTGGCCCCCTCCGTCTGAATCGCCCCTTCCCCCAGCCATCCATGCTGTTGACTCTCTATTTAAGTGCAGGCTCAGGCCATTGCTCTTTCTCCTCTATCTTTGGCCAATTATCAATACTGCTCTATAAACCAAATACGTGCACATGCGTCCTTACCCCAGGACACCCGTGTCCCACAGTTGTTTGGGGACGAAATCTTGAGATGCAGTTGCATGCCAAGGTTATGCAAATCTACCACAATGTCGGAGCCCTTCGTCCAGCAGCGGACTGACGTTAAATAAAGTGCTGCACATTCAAAAGTAATTTTCTGACTTAAAAAATAAAACAATCTCATATATGTATATAAATCAACGTTGCGTTGTTGTGTTGTGTCTCACGCAGGTCCACACATTCCGGGGCCCGCACTGGTGCGAGTACTGCGCCAACTTCATGTGGGGGCTCATTGCCCAGGGAGTCAAGTGCTCTGGTGAGTGTAGCGTGTGTGTGTGTGCGTGCGCGTGGTTAGTCCTTAAAGTACACATAGCCTGGCACAAGCGCCGTGGTGACGTCACCGCGGTTGCTGTTGTTGGTCAGTCCTGTGGGGGGTGGGGGTAGCGGTAGCATAGTGGACAGCACGCTGCGCTTCGAACCCGGCGACTTCGGTTCCTGCTCATCGCCAACACAAGTGACGATTACCTGAACTGGTCCAGGACCTCCCCTAGGTCGACTCAGCCTCAAATGAGTACCTGGTGCGGTGTGTAAACATCGCCACTGGGGAGACAAAGGCGGCCGGCCGTTGTGCTGGCCATCCACCCCCTCGTATGCCATGCCAGCCTTCATAGGTGCACGCTAACAGCAATTTCCCCAACAGTCTGTTATGGCTATATGCGGGATCTTTGTCTTCGTCAGTCCTGGGCCCTCCCCGAGGTGGACTCAGCCTTAAATCATCACTGTGCCTGGTGTCTATGAAACAACAGCGTGGTGGTGGCCACCCACCCCCTCGTGCGCCTTGCCGGCCTTCATATGTGCTAGCTAACAGCATTTGCTCCAACAGTCTATCAAGGGTTATACGGGGAATCTGTCTTATTCTTTTGGTGATGGCGCATCTGGCAGTCGTCTTAAAAAGTTAACCCATAACACCCGGGGGCTTTTCCCTATCACCTGCCAGCGAGCCGACATTTCACATGGCCTCCAAGTGCACCTAGCCTGGCACAAGCGCGAGGGTGATCTCACCTGCGCAGTTGGGAATGTCGGCACGGTTGTTGTTGTAGTACAGTACGTGTTTATATGCTGTACGTACGGACGTACGTGTGTTTGATCGTGATACCCGGCCATGACTATCAATCAGTAGCGAGTGATATCTGAATGTAAGGCCTTCCCGAGGTCAACTCAGCCCTTACATGAGCACCTCGTGCCGTGCGTAATCATATTAATAATAATCACATGGTGCCTTTTTGGCACAAACGTGCCACTCAAAGCGCCATCGTCACATTCATTGCTCCAAGTCCCAATTCCCAGCTGGCAACGCCACAACGCGTTTCCCTGGGAGCGAGCAAGCGAGCGAGCGACACGTGGGCCGACGGATGCACCCCAACACTCACTCCCTCCTCCTACAACAGTGCTCTTCACTCATTTTCAGAGGGGGTGGGGGCACTTTGGCCGATAAGACATCATCAGTGTGAGGGCCGCCACGCCATTCGGAACCTTTGGTGGATTTACATCAGCAACATGTGCGGTGTTTTTTTTCCCAATTTTTTTGTATCGTCATCAGGGGCCGCACTAAAGGCCACCAGTTGCAATAAACAAAAAGCACTGCGCTACACGCACAGCGGACAGGTTCGTGAGCTCGTCGCAGCAGCGCACCACTCGCCCAGCGCTGCTCTACAATAAACGGCGACTCTTGATTTGGGCAAAGATTTAAAAAAAAACCCTCGTTGAGGCCGAGGCGACTCGGTGAAAGCCACAATTGGCGCCTTCATGAGTGCCGACGGCGGCGAGAGGGAACGGCGGCGCTGTAGAATGCCCGGCCACACAAAAGGGTCGTCCGGGCGGGCGGGCGGGCGGCCATCTGCTCCGCAACAGGCAGTGGCCACGCGCAGCCGACCCTCAACTATCGCGGCGCCTTTCTTTGTGTGACCGAGGGCGGTGGCCGTGGTGGTGGTTAGGGGGGGGGGGTGAGACAGAGGGAGAGAAAGGAGCAATGTGGTGGTGGTGGGGGCAGGGGGGCGAGAGTATAAGCGTGCGAGTGCAATTGTTCGACGCCGCAGTTCTCAAAAACAAAGGACGGTGAAAGCATCCGCCCGAAGGAGGGACGCACAGCATCTGCCACCGTGGTTTTGTGAGCGTGGAGGGCCGCTGCGGGGCGGCCGCCGGCGGTTTGTTTTGGACACAAAGGAGGAGGATTCTGGTGGAGCGTGGCGAGGGACGGCAGCGTGAGGGTGGTGGGGAGAGACAGGGCAGACGGCTTTGCTCCAGGTGCCGGTGCCGTGATTCCTTCACTACCGCTTGGCACCCTCTGGCTCCGAGCGAGACGCCAGATCGGGAGGCTGTGCAGCAAAGTCCGCGTTGACATTTTTAATAATATAATTTTATTTGTTTCCACTGAAATGCCGTGCCGAGTATCAACGTGTATTTTCAGGAGGGTTAGACGTTAACTACCTCGGCTGGTATACAGGTGGCCGGTCGTGCGTCCGATCCTAACCCTGACCCCTTTTATATATTTGAAGTGTGCTTGTTCTCTCTCCCAATGGTCGCGTGGATTTTTTTCCGAGTCCACCGGTTTTTCCCTCCACATTTGGCTGCTATAAGTTTCCGCATGATAAGCCGCTTCGTTGAGCTATCATTTGTGGCCATGTCACGTCTAAAAAATAGCTACGTAGCTCAGTGGGCTTTACCTTTCCAACATAAAAACAGGTAAATATGTTGAACAATATTTGGCATCATTGAGTTTGAAGACTTTTTCAAGGAGCAGCTTCAGCGTTTGGAAGTTTGGCCTTCCTGAGTCTCAAGACTCATTCCCAGAGGGCCATGCTTTGGATTGTCATCTGGCCAACGCATTAATTTGTTTGTTTTTTTTGTTTGTGAGGAAGAGAATTGTGATAACTAGAGAGAGAACACTTCAAACGCCATATACAACAACAACAGCCCAGCTGTTAATACACTAAGTCGACGCTCATGGGATTGGGCATGAGTGCACAACACTTCAATTTAATGGGGCCCCCTTGCTCTAAGTGTAATCACCCCAACGTCAATAAATGTTAATTGCGCTTACAAGAAGGGGCCCTCTAAGTGCAATTAACAGACACTTACAAATGTGATCTGATGCCATAGAATAAGAGCGACAGCGTGTATGGACGTGCGCAAACTCAGCGGCCGCGGCCGTCGTTATAAATTAGGCAGCGTGTACATCATATCGATTCGTTATATAGGGTAAGTTATTACTGCCATGGTTGTGTGTTAACTTAAAAAATACAGCGCACTATCTAGGTACAAGTCATGTAACACGGCATAGATTCATAATATTGATTGTAAGGGCCAGGGCACACCTTGATTCGCGTGTGTGGGAATAGAGTTGTATATGTTGTATGTAATGGGGTCACTTGACCACTGCAGTCACCAGAAGCTGTGTTCACATACACAACCCATTGCTCCACAGACTTCAGGGAGTGCAACATTTCAGCAGTGTTGATTCAGCATAAGCAAGCGCTGGACTCGTTTCGACATCCAGTGTCTCATCAGCAGTGTAAAGATACACATTTGAGATTATTCCTCTAATCACCGCGGGCAAGACACACGCACCAAACCAGTGTTTCTCAACTCACCTTCTTACCTTGATTACCAATCATCAGGTTTAGGAAGTGAGCAAGTGGATTAATTCACAGACGAATAGAACAGATTGGTAAATCACGAAGCGGTGGACCGTTAGAACTGGACCGCAGAGTGAGGGCAGATGGGGCAGTTTATCCCCAGCCTCAGGTCCAAGGGAAGGGGGGGGGGCATCATCTGGAAATTTCCACCCGGCCTCAGAAAACCCTTCATGGGCTGTGGCCGTGAGGGGGCCCGCGTGGACCGGAGTTGAGAAACGCTGCACGAGACAGCTGTGTGAGTGATAGAACGCTTCTCTCCTTCGTTGCCATTGCCATCTTCTGCCTGCCCACAGCACCGAGGGGGTCAGCGACCCTTGACCCCGTGTTATTTTGGCCCGGAAAAAAAACAATCTCAGGAAAATGAATTACAGCCTCCGAAGGACGTTTATAAACGTCGGTGAGGTTTTTCCCCCAAAGCTTAAAAAATAAAATCTCAATCGCCAGCCTTCCAGGTTCCCCAGGGCACATCTTAACACAATTACCCACTAACACTCCCATCCTTCCATGACCTTCATAAATCATAATCAAACCCAAGGGTAAAACTGTAGTCGTAACCACACCTAGAATATATGTTTACTTTTTTAACGGTTTCCAACTGTGGTTAAGAACATGTATGCACGACCTCTGTTCGTCTGCCCGCATGGTAACTCTGGTAAAGATGATACAATGTAAGCGCTCAGTTGTATAAACTTATGTTCCTGTTAGGGAATTAGCTTATTGAAATCGAGCAAAATGATTAAAGGCCTGCCAAGTATATGCAGATACTATGTGAAAATGCACTGACAGCTCCCATCGGCTTACTCACCATTGATAGAATACTTCTAAAGACAAACGTACATTGGAAAACATTACATAATCCATGTATGAAAAATAATAGGTTTTACCCTTTTTGCCAATGAGGCGTTAAATTGTTCAAACACCAAATAGAAACCTTTTACAAGGAATAAAGTAACTGCATTAACCACACTTCGCACTTGTGGTGAACATGTAAACTAAACATGCTCTGGTAATCTGTGGACATTGTCTATGAAACTGATTGGCCTACACCAGAGACAGCGGCAGTCCTCTTCATGACCTAGTCTCACCACCAGTGTCAGACCAGAGAACAACGCCAACAAGGCGAACAGCACAAAGACAATGAACTATCAGAGCATTCATAGCTCGGGGTGAGCAGCTACATCATGGGATACATTTTTGCCAGTATCAAAGTATGATGAATAAGGAAAAGTTTTACCCGTTCTGGCAACAAAATCTATGCATACATGTGCTCTGTATTACTTGCATTCCAACTATATTGGCCGGGTGGCGCATTTTCAGAAGTGACCGACTCGCAAATGGCTCAGCCAATCAGGTTTTTGGGTTAGGTCATATGAATATAAATGTGTCGTTAAACCCGCTACCATCAATAAGTAAGGTTTGTCACGTAAACAAAACATGACAATTCGTTACTAGTACATTATACCGGTGTGTTGGAGTGCAAACGAACATTTACAATTTGAGCACGACGTTTCGCCAGTGATTACAACTCACATCATCAGGTCTTAAATAGAGGGATAACTGTGATGTCGTCACTTGTGAGCCAATCAGGTGCACAGGCCAGAGAGGGGGAGGGAGGGGGTTAATGTACGTGTAATTATGACTTAACGCACTTGTCTTGAGATGTTCTCTTTATTGATGAGACACGTTCACTCGAACAGGCGGAGGCTCCCACTGCAACAGCCCCGAGTCTCCCGCGCATATCCCTTATATACGGACCGTGGCCACGCCGCCCTTCCCGAACCTTTTAGTTGGTCTAGACCGCTCGCTCCACCAGCAGACTCCACTGTCCTCTTCCGTCACCTCCTATTCTCGATCTTTCCCGTAGCCACCAGTCCATTCGTACTGCAAGCTGACTCCCCTGTCATTACCTCCCGTGGCCACTAGTCCATTAGCACTGCAGGCTGACTCCCCTGTCATTACCTCCCGTGGTCACTAGTCCCTTCGCATTGCAGGCTGACTCCCCTGTCATTACCTCCCGTGGCCGCTAGTCCATTAGCACTGCAGGATGACTCCTCTGTCATTACCTCCCGTGGACACTAGTCCCTTCGCACTGTAGGCTGACTCCCCTGTCATTACCTCCCGTGGCCACTAGCCCATCCACACTGTCGGCTGACTCTACCGTCATTACCTCCCGTGGCCACTAGTCCCTTCACACTGTAGGCTGACTCCCCTGTCATTACCTCCCGTGGACACTAGCCCATCCGCACTGTAGGCTGACTCTACTGTCATTACATATGCATATAAATGACAATGCACATCGATTATCACTTTTGTTGACGTCCTATGGAGAGACTGGTGATTTTGCACGCAATGTGGCATTGCAATCGAAGGTTCAGTATCGGTGATGGACACGAGAACCACCCCAACGTTGAGCGAACTATGGAAATGCATACTTAGAGGTGGACATATTTGGGTAACACAAATAATCCAGTCGAATCGGCAGCGACGCAGGCATGTACACAACAGATGCTCCAACTCACCCTTGACCTGCTGGCTAAAGACAGAGCTGCGTGCCTTTGTCTTTACATGTGTGTATGTGTTCGCATACATGTAAATGTGTGTGCACTTGCCCCAACAGTCTGTTGAGACTATACGGGGGATCTTTGTTCGCATGTGTGTGGCCTTCACAGGTGCTCGCTGACAGCACTTTCCTGAACAGTCTATTATGTGCGTGCGTTTGTGCTCACGTGCAAGTGTGTTTGTGTACTCACGCGCACGTGTACACGTCTGTTTATTCGTGAGTGTGCGCGCATTTGTATATCCACGTGTGTGCAATCCGCGCGTGTGTTAGTGTGTGCGGTGTTAACCGTCGGCGCTGGGGGAGACAAAGGCGGCCGCGCGTGGTGCTGGCCACCCACCCCCTGGTGTGCCACATTGCCGGCCTTCATAGGTGCTGACTAACAGCACTTGCCCCTACATTCTGTTAGAGGCTGCACGGGGGAGCTTTGTCTTGTGTGTGGGGAGCGGTAGTGCAGCGGTTAGCGCGCTGCGCTACGAACCCGGCGACCAGGGTTTGATTCCCGTTCACGGGGAAACACCAGCGACGATTATCTGAACCGGTCCTGGGCCTCCCCTCGGTTGACTCAGCCTCAAATGAGTAACTGGTGCATCGCTACTGGGGAGACAAAGGCGGCCGGGTATGGTGCTGGCCACCCACTCTCTCGTGCGCCGTGCCGGCTTTCATAGGTGCTCCCTTGCAGCACTTGCCCCTACAGTCTGTTAAGGCGATACGGGGGAATCTTTGTGCGTGTGTGCGTGTGTGTGTCAACCCATGACACCTCTGGGTCTGTTCCGTGACCTCCTTCCTGCCAGCGAGCCTTCGCGACATTTCCCGCGGTCTCAAAGGTGCACCTAGCTTGGCACGAGTGTCGTAGTGACGTCACCGCCACCGAGTAAGCTACCGGCGGTTGTTGCTGCTGCTGCTGCTGGATGTGTTCGAGTGCTCATCGCGGGCGTCTGTGCGCGCCCGTGTCTATGCCTTCGCGTGTGCGACGCAGCCAGCATGTCTGATTTGTAAATGAAACTCCTGCGGACGGCCAAAGCCAGCTTCGTCTCGCGTTAATTCTCTCCCTGCACTCCTCCCCCCCCCACACACGGGGGAATGTTAATGCGGCGTGTCGAGCGATGCCTGTCCATCGCCGCGACGCATCTGCTCCTGCCGGAATTTTTTTTTACATTTTCCTTTATTTTCTTTCTGCGCCCTCGTAACCTCCTCCTCCACCACCACCACCACCATCATCACCATCACTACCACCACGGTGACGCAGGATTTGAGTCCATTTCCCAGCAACGGATGCTCAGCATGGGTAGACACAATGGGGCGGCGGGGGGGGGCAGTATCCCGGGACACGTTAATGGTTGCTCGGTTATCGGAAAACACTGGGGGGGGTTCGACTCCCAGTGCGCGTGCCCCCCCCCCCCCAACCACCACCACCACCATCTCCGCTCCGCGCCTGCCAGAAGGCAACCGTGACCGTCCTGCGTCTGAACCAACTGTGTGGCACCACCAGATCCATTGAATTGATCGCGGTGGAGTTTCCACGCGTGTCCAAACCTCCCACCATCCCCCCCCCCCCCCCCCCCCCCCCCCAACGAGAGATTGATGATCACGCTGGACGGTCAAGGTCACGCAACATGATCGCAGAGAAAGGTTCACGGCGTGTTGGTGCGCCGGATGCAGTTTGACCCGTCGGTGACCTCGAGAAACAGTTGAACCGTTATTTATATAACACAAGATTTTTTTTTCTGACGTTGACAAGGGAGGCTGAACTTTTATTTTTTAGGGAAACTGGTGATGCTGCAGCAGCAGATACACCTGACTTTTAATCTGAAGGTTTCACAAGTTCAAATCTCTGTTGGCGCGCAACTGAGCCCACAATCCCGTTCGGTTAGAAAATGTTAGGGTGGTTGAAATCGTGGTTTTTTTGGCATTCCTGTTATAACCTTATGAATAAAACCCGGCAATAAACCGGTTAATGACAGTTTTACGAACATACAGTTATGTCTAAAGCGGAAAACGTAACAGTTTCACCTTTTTTAATTGAGAAGTTAAGGAAAGTGTCCTGCCACAGTCGCGCTATTATTGGAAGTTCAAACGATGGGCTACGTTTCTTAAACAAGCTGCATTCTTTACCAAAATCCCACTAGAAATGGCTTCTGATTCCTGACTTTAGTGACTGTTAATCGATTCTGAAAACGGTTACTGTTTTATCTGTTACCATTTAACAACCATGGATGATATCAGCACAAATTTGTGAAAATTCACAAGTGGCTGCCCAAACTCGAGACTCTTCCTTGCTGACGTTTAACGCGGATTTTCCACAACTTGATCAACGCTCGACCGCCGGCCAAAATCGCTCTATTACGGCAACGATTAATTATTAATATGAAGGTCACTTTCTGTGCTGGTCCCTTGACCTTTAACCCCCCTCCCCCCTTGGTGAAACCGTCTCTCTCTCTCCGGCGCTAGACTGCGGCCTGAACGTGCACAAGCAGTGTTGCCGCCTGGTGCCCACCGACTGCCAGCCCGACCCCAGGAGGCTGCCCAAGGTGTTCGGCTGCGACCTCACGGCGCTGGTGAAGGCTCACCGCGGGCGGCTGCCCATGGTCGTGGAAATGTGCATCGGCGAGATCGAGGCGCGCGGTGAGGGCTCGCACGCACACACAAAGACAAAGATCCCCCCTATAGCCTTAACAGACTGTAGGGGCAAGTGCTGTTAGCGAGCACCTATGAAGGCCGCAACGGTACACGAGGGGGTGGGTGGCCAGCACCACGTCCGACCGCCTTTGTCTCCCCAGTGGCGATGTTTACACACTGCACCGGGTACTCATTGGAGTCTGAGTCGACCTAGGGAAGGCCCAGGACCGGTTCAGATAATCGTCACCGGTGTTGGCCGTGAGCGCGAATCAAACCCGGGTCGCCAGGTTCGTAGCACAGCGCGCTAACCGCTACACCACCGCTCCCCACACACACGCACACACACACACACGCACACACACACACACGCGCGCACGGCGGACGCACGCTCATCTGCGACGACGCGGCGGTCGCTGTTGCTCGATCCCATTGTCCGAAATGTATCGACGAAGACAATGCCTCCTTGTACATTGCTATAGATGGATACTGCATCCAAGCTGGACCAAAAGGGTGACCAATGTAGAAGTAAGACAAACGGTTGCACATAGAAGAACATTATCTCATGATGCCCAGGCAGTGATGAGACGGAAACTGTCACTATTTGGACACGTGTAGGATGGGCAATGGCAGGAACATTTAAAATGCGTTGTTGTTGTTGTTGTTTGTAAAAATAGAAGGAACCGGAAAGAGAGGAAGGCCTAACAGAGAATGGCTTGACGACCACGACAATGAGAGATCGGTGCCAAAAAGATGTAGCCACGACTTGAGCATATTGGCACGAGAGAGAGGAAAGTTGAAACAAAGGACGAAATGTGTAGAAGTCACGGATGAGAGGCGTTTCACTGCCCAAGGCGAAAATCGCGGCGTGAGAATCACAACGGCTGAACGTCAGCGTCGTCCGAGCTGTTCTCGTTTGTTCTCAACGCTCCCGACGTCGCACAAACCCCAAGAGCTCATTTATTACCGCCACGTCTGTGTCTACACTTGCTCGTGTGATTCCGTTAACGGCGGATTCGCCTGCATACTGTGCGCGCGCACACACACACACAGTGCGGTGAGTGGTAGGTGACATAGCAATCTACCCCCGGCCTTCCACTACCCCCCCACCTCCCACCCATCCCCTGGCGTGTCTGGAAGTGCCGCATATGGGGCTAGGAAACTTCGTGCGGACCCAGATTTGCGCAGCAGTAAACATCCGGCCAGGTGGCGCAGTGGCCAACGCACACAGGCTCGCAAAGCGCAAGGTCGCGGCGTTCAAATCCCAGTTTCGGGGTCGGCTCAAGACTTTCCATTGCTCTGTGGTCAACAACAACAACAACAACGACGAGTCCTGCTGTCGTGTGGCAGATAGCACCGGTTTTCTTACGAAGTAACAGGCCCCTACCATAGGAATGTCGAATTTCCACCACCGGCTCAGGGCTGTAAACGGGAAATCGACACCCCATGCTCGACTGGGCAGTGTACGGCAGCAACGACAATGACGTTTTGGCACGGCACATTGTCACTAAATATGGCACATCCTGGGTATGTTTTTCACCTTCTTGTACGTGTAATAATTATCAAGAAAAATCATTTACAACCCATGCCTCCGGGATGTGCGAAGTTTTGTTTAATGTTTATTTTTTTATTTTTTATTGGGGGCCGCGTCACTAAGTAGAGGCTTTGCGCTAACCAGGAGGACGCTCATTATCGGTCTCGCTTGCGCCTCCAGCATCACAACAAATTGGCGGCACCGGCATGCCGATGAGCACCCCCTTCTCGCCCGCGGTGCAAACGGAGAGCTTCTCCAAAGACGCGTGATTTAAAAACCAGGGAACTTCACAGCGGCCGCGGCAATGGTGTAGCAGCGCAGTTGGCCTGGGCCCCCGGTGCGAGCAATAAATGGGGCCCACTGTCCATTGTCCCCCCCCCCACCCCTTCTTTATACCTCTGGCCGGGCCTCGGTGCACTTTCACCGCCCGATTACTCGCGAGCTGTGAGCAACTGTGCGCAGCCGAATTGTCGTGCTGTCGACCGTTAATCGTGAAACTCTTGCTCCGTGCCCTGCGGGCAGGCCTGAAGTCGGAGGGACTCTACCGGGTGTCTGGGGTCAGCGACCTGGTGGAAGAAGTGAGGACGGCCTTCGACAAAGGTGAGGCTTTGTTCATCAATTGTTGCCGGCTTAAGGGAATGTCCCAAACACCCTGGTCAACTAATTCCAGGTGATGTTGATTGGTGACCACAATGCCCGGACACGTGGACATGGGCTGTAGGGCTACCCGGCGGGTAGCAGAGGGCAGTGCATCAAAATACATTTTTGGACCGAACTTCTAGGCTCCCATGTCTTTTGACTTTCACCAACCTGCACTGGCCAGCATAGTGAGGTATCGTCCCATAATCCCCATGACCTGAATTAACATCTCGTCACCGTGGTTATGGTGTGTACATTTTGACCATGAGAACGAACGTCAAACCAAGGAGACCTGGGAGAAATGAGTTTGATTCCCGGCCAAGGCTAACATCGGTGGCGAGTGATATCCAAACCGGTCCTGGCCCCTCCGCCGGTTCATCAGCTAGCACTGAACGGCGCGGTGAAGTTTGGTCAGACAACGCTCGTCACTCACACGGTGTGGGGAGGCTGTCATCCAGCAGTGGATTGACAAAAAAGACTGTTGATGTACATCCAAACAAAAACACAATACAGGGTGCCCTAAAAGTCAGGACACATATGGTTATTTAATTTATTTTTCCACCGGAATGAAAACATGTATTTGTTTCTTCTTTAAGTTAATATTTTATCTGTTATCAGCATTCATTTTCTTCTCCCTTTGGGGTCACTTTAAATCCGTCATTTACAAAACTCGATCAAGAACGCCGATTGAGACGAAACATAAATTGATGAATGTTCAAATATTACACCCAATCTAAAAAACAAAACGTCTTCAATTAATTTCAAAGGAGAATTCACGCACGCAGTCACGTTAATGGAAGTCAGTTTGAAAATTTACGAAAATAAATGAAATAACCAAATTAACCTGATGGCGGGACCCCGGGCTCCCGAATAAACGGAAGTCAAAATCGTCATTAATTAATTAATTTAGTTTGGGCTACTCCGTCCCACCGCGCACATAAACGCCGTGACCTACATGGCGCGGATCATTCCGTTGTCGTGTCGTCCAAGCACAGCAGCGAGGACGAATGCGCAGAAGAAACAAAACTTTCATTAGCGCATCGTGTAGAGCTCGTCGAGAGGAATAGACTGCCGTGTCGTTCGCCTTCAACAGACATAAAATGACGTCGCAACGCAGTTCATGCGAGAGCTTACGGGACCCCAGGGTCCCGCCATAAGTTTCATGTGTGTTTTGTTAAAATAAATTGTAACTCTCTGTCTTCTGACTTTTGGGCCACCCTGTATGCACATGAGCCTGGTGGCTGTCAATGCCCTGTCTGTCATTAAGGAGGGGTTTCTTTCATGAAAACAAGAAACCCACATATTTCCCTCTAAGTAAAAAAAATCACAATCATCACGACTTCATAATTCTTCTACTTATTATTTCACAATGCGATTATGTACGTAGCCAGCCATGCCTCGCGGACGGTAATTGGGTGTATAATTGGCATCGCGCATTTGGGGAATACGCGCCGTGCATGGCGAAGCCGGGGACTCGTTAGCACGTCTAACTGGGTCAGCGAAACGCAACTCCCCTTGTGCTTTGCGATTGATGATGCAGCAAGGCACTGAACGTACAGGCCTATCCACTTGAAGATGTCCCGATAAGGTGGGACCCTCCCCCCCCCGCCCCCCCCCGGTATGGTTTGGAGCAGCGAGCCCATTCCCCATCTTTCTATCCCGCTGCTTTTCATAACCATTTTGGCTTATGTTGACGGTGTGTGTACGTGCATCACAACGTGATGCATTGGGCCCGCACATTGCCTCAATGAAATAAATCTTTTTTCAGGAAGACATCCCGATAAAAAATAATGGGGGAGTAATGTTTAGAGAACTCGAAACGTTTTGTTTTCCAAGCCTCCGCGTGACTACCACCAATCTAAACGCACTTATGTAGTCTTGCAACTCTCTCCTCTGTAACACGTGTTTACAATTGTCAGTCGCCTACAGACATGCCAGAGGGACGTTCAAACTGAGTGGGGGTGTCTATGCATGGATCGCCCTCTAAATTCCTCCATCTCAACTTTGCTTAGGGGCGAAGTGCTCCGATCGCGGCTCTAGCTCGTGACCGGCCCTGCCGCGCGTGAACCCTAACACCTACGCGGGCGACCCTGCGCTGGCATTGCTTGTCCCGCAGAGGGGGAGAAGGCGGACATCTCGGCGAAGGCGTACGAAGACGTCAACGTCATCACGGGCGCGCTGAAGCTGTACTTCAGGGAGCTCCCGACGCCCCTCGTCACGTACCAAGCCTACCCGCACTTCGTGGAGGCTGCCAGTGAGTGGCTCAGCAAGCTCCCCCGCACCACATTGAGTCTCCTAGCGTCTTACCAATCCTCACCACATTGAGTCTCCTAGCGTCTTACCAATCCTCACCACATTGAGTCTCCTAGCGTCTTACCAATCCTCACCACATTGAGTCTCCTAGCGTCTTACCAATCCTCACCACATTGAGTCTCCTAGTGTCTTACCAATCCTCACCACATTGAGTATCCTAGCGTCTTACCAATCCTCACCACATTGAGTATCCTAGCGTCTTACCAATCCTCACCACATTGAGTCTCCTAGCGTCTTACCAATCCTCACCACATTGAGTATCCTAGTGTCTTACCAATCCTCACCACATTGAGTATCCTAGTGTCTTACCAATCCTCACCACATTGAGTATCCTAGTGTCTTACCAATCCTCATCACATTGAGTCTCCTAGCGTCTTACCAATCCTCACCACATTGAGTCTCCTAGCGTATTACCAATCCTCACCACATTGAGTCTCCTAGCGTCTTACCAATCCTCACCACATTGAGTCTCCTAGTGTCTTACCAATCCTCACACATTGAGTCTCCTAGCGTCTTACCAATCCTCACCACATTGAGTATCCTAGTGTCTTACCAATCCTCACCACATTGAGTCTCCTAGTGTCTTACCAATCCTCACCACATTGAGTCTCCTAGTGTCTTACCAATCCTCACACATTGAGTCTCCTAGCGTCTTACCAATCCTCACCACATTGAGTCGTCTTACCAATCCTCACCATATTGAGTCTCCTAGTGTCTTACCAATCCTCACACATTGAGTCTCCTAGCGTCTTACCAATCCTCACCACATTGAGTCTCCTAGCATCTTACCAATCCTCACCATATTGAGTCTCCTAGCGTCTTACCAATCCTCACCACATTGAGTCTCCTAGTGTCTTAACAATCCTCACCACATTGAGTCTCCTAGTGTCTTACCAATCCTCACCACATTGAGTCTCCTAGCGTCTTACCAATCCTCACCATATTGAGTCTCCTTGTATTTCAGTTTTTTTTTCAGTTTTATTAATTTTGGTATAGCCCTCTGAGCCATTCGGCTTTTGAATCGGGTGCAACCACAACAAACAAAAAACAAAAACACGAACAAGAAAAACATCTTAAAGTGACTATGTGACTGTGCAAACAGAAAGCCAAGAAAGAAAACAGCAAAATATTCCTGAAAAAAAAGCACCGTACACCAACGCTGTGTGCAAAACATCCCAGTGGGATGCAAGTCAAACAACAACAACCACAAGAAAACTTAGATTAAGGCCATCAGTCCAACTCCGTACTACAACAAAACAAACATGTCGAAACCAAACAACTTTTCCAAATCACCAAAAATAAAGCAATAATTGCAACGTAACAGTGATCACAGCCACTGTGACCGAATTTTTTACAATAAACTACATAAATAACATGTAACACCAAATCCTAGAGCCATAGCTGGCTGCATAAGTTACTCCACAACAACAGAGGCATCAGTCGGAGTATCACATTTTTCAATGCACCTTTAAGATCAGCACGCTAAATCAAAATACAGATAATACTTTGCAGCGTCATCAGGAGCGAAACATTTTATTTTATTTTACGCCAATGAATAGCAGTGGCAGCTAGGGGTGTACAGCTCCTCTAGAGCAGTTTTGAGAGAAGATCTCATTGGTAGCGATTCAAGTTGCAGTTTATTGGCAATATCATTCCAGACCCTGGGGGCATCAATAGCAAAGGACCTTCCTCCAGTTTTTGTACAGCAATAGGGAATGTGAAGCTGGTAAATGAGCGAAGACCTGAGGTCAAATTTGTTCTTTGAAACAGAGAGGAGATCCAGCAGGTAGTCTGCGGATTTTTTTGTCAGTACATCGTGAATAAATAAGATCTGGTGCACAAGCCGTCGAACATTAAGAGATGTTAAGTTTAACCCAATGTAGAGATCACAGTGGTGAGTCTTATATGGGCAGTTCAATGTAAATCTTAAGGCCGAGTGATAGATGGAATCAAGCTTCTTCAGTACAGTACTTGGGGCTGATTTATACACGATGTCACAGTAGTCAAGTAGAGGCAGTATGGTAACTTTTATCAATTCCAAACAGAACATTGGGGGGCAACAGTGCTTGTGTCGATACAGAAAACCAATTTTAATTTTTGTCTTTTTACCAATATAATCAATGTGATCTTAAAAATTCAGTTTGACCAAGCCTCACCATATTGAGTCTCTTAGCTAGCGTAGTCTAATAGCTATAACCTCCCCTCACTGCGTTGAGTCGACTCCCATCTTTCCAATCCGAGCCGCACTTGTTTGAGTCTTCTGAAATGTCTGTTTGTCTGTCCACCGTTCTGTTTACAACTCTAGAACTAAACACAATTCAAGGGTGAGAGGTACAAAAAAAAACGTCAACGCAAACTCCCCCTTCCCGAATGGAGAGAGAGTGTGGCCACACGTGACCCCCCGAGTGGACGAAACTTTTCATGGAAGGGTCGTAGCGACGACCGCCTCACCGCAGCTGCAGAACGTAGAAGGCAAACGCCACCGAGAGCACGTCGGTGGCGATGTGGATACGGCCAAGTGAGGAGAGGGCGGGGATTGCAGGCCATGGATCACCCGTCAGTTGTGGCGAACGCACGAGCGCGAGGAGACGGAGTGAATGCTGTTGAACACGTAGGCTTTCACGACCATGTTGTGGGTTTACTCTCCAACACACCGGTGTGCTGTACTGGTAACGAATTGGCATGTTTTGTTCACGTGACAAAACCTAGCTCAAAGAGCCTCTATTATGAGTGCAATCCTGCATGTTCGTAGAAGGCAAAGAGAGGGAGCAGGGATTGCACAGCATTCACCGGCCGTCTATCGCGAGGAACGGACAGGGACCGCGGGACCCAAGCGCGGTAGCAAGGCAACGCAAGTGTCACCACGGACGCGAGCGACAGTCAAATGCCAGGATTGACAACGCTCGGGCCTGATCTTTCCCTGATAGTTTTCCAGATCACTGGTATCGTGCGTACACTGGAGTAGGCGCAGAGAACGCGGGGACCCTTTAGTTTAGGATGGCCACAGCTCAGAGCGAGGGGTGTGCTGGATGCGGTGTGCCGGGCGGGGGGAAATATTTCAGCAGGTTGCTTTGGGCGACAGACCCGGGTGGGACGAAGCCCTGACGACTGAACTTGCAACCCACTGGGATTTTTGCACACAGCATTGATACACGGTGCTTTTCTGAAAGACCTTGCTGTTTTTGCCTGGATTTTTCTGTTGCGCGTAGTCACTTTAAGATGTTTTTTCTTGTTCATGTTTTGGTTTGTTGCGGTTGCACCCGATTCAAGAGCCGAATCGCTCACGGGGCTATACCAAATAAATTAAACTGAAACATTCCCCCCCCCCCCCGCCCCTCCCCCGTGTGCCGCAGAAGTGAGCGACCCCGCGGAGAGGCTGGAGCAGCTGCGCAGGGCGCTACAGACGCTGCCACCAGCGCACTACGACACGCTGCACTGCCTCATGGCCCACCTGCACAGGTGACACACACACACACAAATATCCCCCGTGTAGCCTTAACAGACGGTTTGGGGCAAGTGCTGTTAGCGAGCACCTATGAAGGCAGGGACGGCACACGAGGGGGTGGTTGGTCAGCAACCACACCCGGCCGCCTTTGTCTCCCCAGTGGCACTATTTACACACCGCACCAGATACTCATTTGAGGCTGAGTCGACCGAGGGGAGACCCAGGACCGGGTATAGATAATGGTCACCGGTGTTGGCCGTGAACGGGAATCGAACTCGGGTCGCCGGGTTCGTAGCGCGGCGTAACGCTAACCAACACACGACCGCTCCCCTTCACGTACGCACGCACGCAGGGTCTCGCAGCAGGAGAAGCACAACCTGATGAGCTCGGAGAACCTGAGCATCGTGTTCGGCCCCACGCTCATGAGGCCGCACGAGCAGGACGTCCTGGCGACGCTCAACGGCATGAGGCACCAGCGCCTTCTGGTGGAGCTGCTCATCCGCCACGTGCAGGAGCTCTTCTGAGAGCGACGGTGTCACGCGTCAACGTCCGTCCGTCTCTTGCCGTCATCACCACCAACTCCTCCTCCTCCTGCTCCGGCGTATTAACTCTGACCCTTCAACACCCTGCAATGTCCGACTACGCCAAACAATGCCCAACAATGCCCGACTACACCAAACAACGCCCTAGAGAGACGCCTAATGACCAAATATATATTTAACTATTGAACTTAAACTAAACTATTTTTTTCCAGGTAAGGCCCACTGAGCGACACAGCTCTTTGTCAGAAGTGACCTGGCCGCAAAACGACAGCTCAACAAAGTTGCTCATCGCGTGGCAAAGTATCGCGGCAAAATACTCTAAACTGATCTAAATCAGTCGGAACGCACCGGAACATAAAATAAGATAATTAAGGATAGCCCAGAGCGCGACTACTGCGGCCAGCGATCACGTGGACCTGCGTATCACACAATTCCCCGCTTCGATCGTTCGCCTGTGCCAGCTTATGGGTCTCTCTGTGATTCTGTGCGTCTCTGTACGAGCCTACGATTCTCCGCTCAAACTCGAGGACTCTCCATGCGAGTCTGCATCTCAGACCATGGGGACTGCCGTGCTTACGGCCACTGCCCGCTGTAATAATTTTGCTGGCAGCGTTTAAGACATTCCGCTCACCAAACTCACTCGACACAGACTCTCACACACACACACATTTCCGATCAACCCCATCCCCCCCCTCCCCGCCACCGTACAAGAGAAGAAGATCTGGAATGCGCCAGATCTCAGAAGCCAAGCAGGGGTTGAGCCTGGACATTGTTCGGATGTGCGGGATCGCCATGCGGCAAACGGGGCGCTGTGGGAGCTGCTGCGGGGCTGCGTTGTCAGCGGTGGGCACTGCAGCAAAATCCTGATTTGTTGTACTGCACTTCGTGGCTTCCACGTGTCTGCCCCCAGTCTTCACCGACGCACGGCGATGGGCTTGCCGAAGTACGGTCGAATAACCCTCACGATCAGCGCGGCATGGGGAGGCCCTCATCCAGAAGTGGATCAACAAAGATACGTACGTTAATTCTACAGGCATAGCAGTGAGGTGGGGGGAGGTTGTATGACTTGGATGTATGTTGAACTTCTTTTGCACCGTACGTAGTCAACCGTGCTAATCAGAGGTGCGGGGTAAAGACAACACATCGAAACACAAAAAAGCAGTTCTAAAGAAATGAGTTTTCAGGGCAGCGTTTGAGACTGAGGCTGATCGCCATGTCTTGGTGTCTGTGCCGTGGAGCCGATCTAATTCACACAAACCTCCTGCTGTTCCGAGCCTCAACCCATACACCCACAGAGTGGCACGTTGCAGACACCAGATGACGTGTCAGCGCGGTGGTGGACTCGACAGTAACAACAAAAACTGAAATCCAGGATGTGGTCCAGGACCCATTCGATGACTCAAGCAGCCCTGCAGCTGCGAGCCAAGCAGCCAGGGTTTATTTTTTTCTCGTTGTTTCCCCCAGGCTAATATATTTCATTCAAATCCTGTCTGCCCCACAACCGCCGCCGGCGTGACGTCGTTCCTCGCGCTTATCCGACGAGCTGCGCGGTTCTCCAGCCGCAGAGGAACAAAACGGCGCCGTGTCCACGCCGACCCCGTGGGCTGCAGCAATGGATGAGGGTGCACGCGCTGGCGGCTGGCCCGCGTCAAACGCTCACCGCCAGCAGCGAGCAGCGGGGCGAGACGCTTCATACGTCGGCAGGGCGCTAGACCTCGCGACGGAAACGTCTCGAAGCGATGCGCACCACTTGAGCAGGAGAAATGGCAAAAGACAAAAAAAAGCAGTGAGGAGCGTGGACGCACGGTCACGTAGACACGCTGCACTGTGAGTACATAACATCGGCGGTTCAATTCAGTTCCTGGACAAGGTTCCCAGCACGCGGAGCGAAACGCCGGACATCGCAGCCCCCCCCCCCTTCCCCACCCCCCCCTCCCCCACGACGAAAACGCGTGGTAAACAACCCGAACAGGCCTCAGGGAAGCTGGCTCTTCCTGTGGCTCTCGGTGAACAGCTGGGCAATGCACCGCAGTTGTCTGCGAGCAGGGAGACTCCGCACAGGCTGGGCGCGCACGTGGAGGCCGTGTCACGGGGCTTCGATCGAAGGGTCAAGGGGCGCGTGAAGTCGACAGCCTGAATTACACAACGAACGAATGTGGTTCGTCTTTCCCAGAGGTTACTGCTGCGATGAAACATACTCTGAAATCTTAAGGCAACTCACATTTAAGCAATGCAGAAAACGGTACACTCCACCCCATATTAAGCATGGTGGTGCATGGGGTTAGTGCACTGCGCCATGAACCCTGTGACCCCGAGTTTGAATCCTGGCCGTGGCCAACATCAGTGTCTGAACCGGGCACGGTCGCTGCTCACCAACCCCCATGGCCAACAGGGTGTGGGGAGAGAGGCCTCCATCCAGCAGTGGATTGAGTAAGAGCTACAAAGGAGAAGCAAGGCTCAATGGAGCACACGAGTGACGTCATCACATCTATTTAAGGAACGAAACAGGAGGATGAAGCTAGTTGTAATTAGTGGCGAAACGTCGTACTCAGATTGTAAATGTTGTGACTTTGCTCTCCAATACACCGGTGTGCTGTACTTGTAACGAATTGCCATGTTATGTTGACGTGACAACCCTTACTAATTGGCTGTGTCGGGTGGTGGCGGGTTTAACGACCCATTTATATATTTACGCAATGATATTGGTCGCGAAAGCCTACGTGTTAAACTCAATGGAAAAGCACACGCAATGAACCAAACCGAGCAAAATCCCCACATTGCTGTTCTCTGCAAGGTCAGTGCGCTTCTCATGAAGTCCTTTGAAACAACAGCCATAGCCACACGATTGCCTTGCTGTGTGTGACGTCCTTGACGATCTTCGCTTACTTGCGATTATCAGGCAGCTTCGGTTGCTCAGTCATGGAGCCAAATTCAAATGTCAAGCTCAGGGCCGCCAACCAACCTTGCTCTCCGATGCGTAGCTTGGTCTGCACCGCGTGCTGATCGGCATCCACCTTCTTGACGTTTTGCTCCACACGCTGGGAAGCTTCTGAATTGTTTAGTTCCACCAATGAAACTCCCAGCACGTGGGGCGAAAACGTCGGACATTGTCCAAAACAACACGCGGTGTAGCCCAATGGCTCTTCGAGAGCCAACTCTTAAGAACCTCCACGGAGGGAGTGGGGGGCGGTCAGCTTAACCACGTGTTCTAGCCGAGCAAGCTGCAACCGCAGCGCCCTCCACTGTTGGTGCTCACGCAATGACGAAAGATGCTCAGGAGGCAAAGTCTCACCCATGGTGAAGCATGGGTCGGCACTTGGCTATGAATGACTACGCAGGGCTGTGGCTAGAGACGCGATTCCCCGTGTGGTGCACGGATGTACGTTGGACTTCTTTCGCCGCGTACGCAGCCAACCGTGCGAATCGGAGGTGCGGGAGAGGGATGTGATGACGGCATCGAGATGATATTAAGTAATTGCGAATGCGCCAGCACACGCCAGCTTTTCTGTCCTGTATAACCAGAACTGGATTCATGTCCGAAGTCGAATGGATTGCCGATCAATGTATTGCTTGATGCGGGGCTTCGAGAGAGAGAGAGAGAGAAAAAAACTCCAGTCCACAAACTCCACCACGGTACACATTTCCACTTTTTTGCCGAACTGCTCCATTGAAGCGAACATTGTGGCTAGGCGCTGCATGCATGAGACGATCGGTAAAATTGGAAAACAGGACCAGAGTGGAGCACGAGGAGTGGAATATCAAGAACTCTATCCCGGTGAACAAGCCAACGTCGGGCCAACGTTAGCATATGGTTGGAACCGTTGGGCCCAACGTTGGCCTAACGTTCCACGTTCACCGGGGTGAGCCTACCACGAAAGCGTGTTGATTACGACTGTCAGTTTGAATTCCTGCCGCGCCACGCACGCGGTCTATGCGGAGGAGACAAGCATTCAAATGGACCAAACCCACGAAGCTTCGAGTGGCAACAATGAGCTTCACGTTGCCACACACCCCTACGGCTGGAGAGAGAGGCGACTTTGTAAATATTGTATTTATTCGAAGGTACCTATAATGATACTCTCCCACCTAAAGATGTTTGAATGTTTACACTTTAAACACTTGTAGCCGTTTTCTGTACCGCTTGCCGGTCTGTGTGTCGTGTGGTTGGATGTAAACCCCCTTGTAAAAAGTTCTACCCTCCAAGTTGAATATTATGTACGCCTGGGCTTAATTTCTCCCGGGTCTCTCCGCAAAATATTTCCGGACAAGGCACACAACGTTTCACTATACTTCCTCTCGCCACCCACGGCTTTGGCTGCTATCGTCACGTGGCTACCGGTCTCTTACCAGCTTACCCTGAACATATTCAGTGAGAAATTGGGCCCTGATTCCCCCCTGATTAAATGTACATCTATAATTGTGGTGGATGCTGTGGTGTGGGATATTTATTTTGGGATGTTCCATTTTGGGGAAAAACGGGGGGGGGGACGGCGGGGGCTTGTTTTGTTAGTTTGGTTGCAACCAACTGTCTTACAAATACAACCTCTTGTTTTGTAGGAAGTGAGTGATGTGAAATGATGTGATTTGCTGATTAAAGACAGACATAGTTACATTAAAGACAGACAGTTACAAACCCTTTTTCAAACAAGGACATTTAGGGATTACTGCGTGTGTAAAACTACCTTATGGCGACGAAAGATTTACCGATTTTATATACTCTGTCAACATTTTTACGTATATAGATAATAGGCCTCCAAACAATCTGCAAATGTATTTTTTAACCGTTTGTTACATTGGTGCAACTAAGTGACCTACACTGCAATGTGTTTTTATAAGATGTGTTTCACAATGTTGATGACGCCTGTACCCTGGCTTACCGCAAAAACAAACCCATCACGTTCAACATAATTATAATCATCTCACAATACTTGCGTTTAATTACTCAATCGCCCCCCTACTGTGAAAACTTGGCAGGGCCCTCTTGAAACGAGTCAGCAGATTCGGTCAGATTTTCCTGGGTAAACAATAATAATTATTATTTATAATGAAAGGAAAGGTCTCAAAGCGCAGTCTAGGGGACCTCCTAATGGGAGCTGTCCGTGGGTGGAAAAAGGTGAACACAACACCAGCCTACAAATGGGCTTTGAATCCCCTCATTTTGCCATCTCGGCCAACTCGCACCAAGATCATTGCGTCGGCGTAGCATTGTGCAGGAAATGACGGAACATGGCCAATATTTATCTAAATTAACGAACTTAAATGTGCGGCATGTAATGGGTTTGCCATGCTTGAGGAAATGTCACGATTCCAGGTTACGATTAAATTCGAGAATCAAATTGTTCGTCTCATTATTTAAATGCGTTTTGAATGTTCGGTCTTGTTTGTTCCTTTGGACTCGAAGTAACATTTGCGTATGCTTCTATTTGTCGTATAGCTAAGAAATGTTTACACAAACGATGCGATGCATGTCTCGAATCAGTGTGTAAACGTGGTGTTGGATCCCTTGCGACAGCGCAAGGCGATCACGTTGGCAGTGCGTTTCCCAGACGAGTTACTGTAGTTCTCGTCCTGGCAGTAGCGAGTTCATTATCACGACGTACGACCCACGGGTCTTTTTACGCAGAGAGTATTTTCACATTTCCCAGGAAACGATTACATAAGCAAAGGCAAGCTGCCTGAGCACGACCACAGCAGCTGATCCTACAGCAAACGTTCAGGGTAAATATATAGATATATTTTGTTTGATTTTTACAATGAATAGCGATTAGAGTTACAATGGTCAGCATGCGTGCGTCTCTGCGTCGCGTGTGGTCTCTGTTCCGTGGGGAGGGGAGGACGATGGCGTTTCCTGCGGTCAGTCCGGTTTCACAACCGCGAATAATGTTTGTCGGTGTCGAGAGTTGTTCTCAACCTTGCCGAGCAACACAGTCGGTGGGCCAGAGCTGAAATTGGTACCACCTAAGGTAGAACAAAAAAAACTGTTGCGGTGACCATTCATTGATGTGGCTAATGCGAGTGCATTTTTTTAAATATAATAACACCATTCATTTCGAATGGTTGTTGCATAAGTCACTGTTGTTGGCCCCACATTATGAAATTGTATCAGCTAAAGTTATGGTGGTACCGACAGGTGAAATGTCTGGCCTGGGGCTGTCTTGTTACCGCTATTTGAACTTTTATATTCACGGTGTCATTACAAGCAGCGCTCACCGCTTGGCTGAGACAGCACCACACATGAGCTTGCCGCTTGACACATTGCTATCCTGGATATGTACAGAGGAGTTACGCTGAGAAGACAAACGAGATTACGTCCAGAATACCAAAGCACAGACATGGTGTTGAGTCCTTCCAGTGGCCCCTTTGAGTCAGCCCTGTTATTTATTGCCAGCCATAACGCATTACCACGTGCTAAGCTTCGACCTGCAACATCCAGTCACTTGGGAAATTAGTGACTCAAACATTAGCGATACCTAAACCAGTCCATGCACTTGCCACCCAACTCTCGTGGGTGACAAGGTGATATATCAGGGTTTTTTTTTTCTTCCAATTATTATTGGGACCACAAGAAAGCAGAGTTGAGTGTCACCCCCGCATGCATCTTGGGTTTCTCTGAGCACCCTGGATTCCTCTAACACGAAGCCAAACACTCATTTCTGGAATTGGTCAAATATTACAATGTGGCAGGCAGGACCCTCGTGATAAATAATCTGGAGACTCATTGGAATTTTTTCGCGTTCGGGGTGCCGCGGTGGCGAGATGTTAACTACCTCGCCCTGCATACAGGAGGTCGTGGGTTCGATCTCGACCCTGACGCCTGTATATTTGGAATTTGCATGTTCTCCCCGTGGTCGCGTGGATTTATTTCAAGGTACTCCGGGTTTTTCCCTCCACATTTATAAACATGCTGTTTGGAATATTTGGCTGCTATAAATTTCCACACGATAAGCCATTTTGTTGAGCTATCAATTGCGGGATTGTTTCTTCTTAAAAAGAGCTATTTAGCCCAATGGACCTTACCTGGCAAAATAAAAATAATTGAATTATTTTCTGCGTCACGTAAATCGCTTGTACACTGTCCATCGGCGAGGTCAAGGCAGCACCGATTTGAACTCAAAGTTACTTTTCACGAAGTAGCAAACGTGTTGCAGTCGAAACGTCGTGAGAATTTTATTGTTTTATATTTTTATTATTTTATTGTTTCCTTTCTACGTGGTGACTTTACCGAAAGAACCAAGAATATGAATCCCTGCAGTCACGAAAGCTTTAAATCAAAATTTAGTCCGTTTATTACATTGATATTTATCCTTGTTACATCACACCGTTTTGGAAGGCGCTCGACCTACGAAGATGGAAGTGGTGGCGCACACGCCTTGTGCGTACACCGAGTCGGCTTACTGGTTGAGGGACGACCTGTCGTCCTGCTGCCACTACTCGCTTTCCCGCCGATGTTGTTGTTACACTCGTACTTGGCGTGCCGCTGTGCGACTTCCACTTCAC